TGTCTATTGTGTGTTGGCATGGTATTAGACACATGAGTATCTAATTTTCAATAACACCCCTGCAAGGAGTGTTGCATTCTCACAAATAAAGAAACATAATGAGAAATTATCTGAATGCCGTGCTGGATATTTACCCACATATCTTAGACTTAAAACAAATCCTTAATCAATCTTTGTACTATAATTTGAAGTCTTTTTAAAAAATGGATATTTGCCAGGATAAGATGCTTACATCTTGATCTATCGCTGCGAAAGTGTAGGGAAGAATACAAGATAGGGAGAGAAACTAATAATTACAGAATATCTACTCTGTGGCAAGAATGCTACCACTTTATTGTTGTAGAGAGTTAAGTAAGTGGTTTAACTCCCTGAGAAAGGATCAGACATTCGTCGGAGATTGCATAAGCAAGTTGGTGGCCAATGGGTCTGCTTGACTTAAAACCTTATTACTCTTTTACTTTTCTATATATTAATTCATTCATTTAAACATGTGCTCACTAAATGCTACGGTCTGGGCTAGAGCATGAAAATGAATGTATTGAGTTCTGCCAACAAGGATTTATATTCTAGTTTAGTGTTTCTTAAATGGTGATAGAATTGAGGTGGTAAATTGTGACAAGCATTTCTTTAAAAACAAACAATCTAATAGAAAATGCTAGTGCTTATGTGGTAAAGGTAAAAGCATTATTTCATGAAATTTGTTTCAGTTATATATGTTTGTGTATTTTGGATCTCTGAAAAAAATGTATTTCTTGTTGTGGGATCGCATCAAATGTTTGAGAACTATTGGTCTAGGACAGAGATGAAAGGGTTAGCAAATACTTGTGAATACTCATCATAGCAAATAAGTTCTATGATAGAATTCTAAGGAAGCATGATGGAAAAAGCAAATAATTCACTACAAAATAATTCGAGTAAGTCTCACAGAGATAACTGAGTAGTTTTCAAGCATGGGGTAGAGGGCCTTAAATATATCTAAAAATCATGAAGAAATGAAAGAGCTTAGTATATTTGGGAAACTTGGGGCAGTATGAAACAAATAGGAGTCTATATTCCTATATCTGTATTTTTTTTTTTTTTTGAGTTGGAGTCTTACTCTGTCGCTCAGACTGGAGTGCAGTGGCCGCTCCTGGCTACCGCAGCCTCGACCTGCT